GGGATGGGGAAAAATGTTTTGCAACTTGGTTCTTGCATGAGGCAGTTTGCAGCAAGGAGACACTTGCAGGATTGTAGCCCTTTTTCTAAAGTGACAAGCAGATCTCTCTGTATTTAAATTCATCCTTCTTTCCGCCTGCTTACCCATTTGCTACTTGGTCAGAAAAGACCCCCAGAGTGTGAATCCATTTTCCTCCAAATGCTGTCTTCAGAGTGAAGCACAGCTGAATCTAAATAATTCAGCCAAGAGAGAAAAGATGAAAAGAGAACGCTCACCGAAAAAATCTGACACAACCCAGAAAAGTACCCTGGCTTCCCAGATGTAGCCTGCATGGACTCCGAAGCGTTGCGGCGGCTCTACTTTCTCTCCCCGGTTCTTGCTCCCTGTGACGCAAACGCAGGCAGCATCCACGTTGCCTCAGGCCACGCGCTCGGCTCTCACTCCCTTCCATCCCTGTGCTGATATCTAATCAGAACAGGGACACAAAACTGGGGCAGCCAAATGACTCTGTGGAGTTCAGAGCAGAGATGCAGAGATTTTGCAGAGAGATACATCATAGGGGACGTCCCTTTCGACCTGGGAAAGCAGTAAGGAAGATAACCTGCCCATTGCCAGGGTTTCTGGAGGAAGGACCAGCACAGACAGCCCATTGGAGCGTGCTGCTCGACTTCTCTCGCACAAGCTGGGAGCAGCGTTCAGTAAATAATGCATATGACCGAAAATAAAAGCTCATTGCTCTTGCAGATGAACCTCCTGCGGATGCTGAGTGTGTTTTTATACATCTTCTTCGGCAGTTCAATGACTCTGCTGCCATGTTCGTTCAACATTGGGTGTTTTGTCTTGTTTTGGATGCAACTTTAAAGTGTTGGCAGTGATCCAAACAGTATCTGTTGGCGAAAATAAAGACTTCATTGCGTTTCTGTACTGCCCAATAGCCAAAGCTCTCTAGGAGGCCTGTACTATGATCAAACATAATATAAAATCTGTCCATGTGCAAAGGTGTAAAATGGCTTGAGAAGTGTATTCCAGATAGCAGTGACATAACCAGAATCTAACATTAAGCTAACATTAAAAAGGCATGTCCTACAGCATCAAATTCTTGGGAGTATTTCTTTATTTATATTGTGATTTATATTGTGCCTTTTTCCTACAAAGAGCTCAAAGCAGCGTACATCATTCTCCTCCTCCATCTTATCCCCCCAACAACAGCCCTGTGAGGTAGGTTGGGCTGAGGGTCTGTGACTGGCCCAAAGTCCCCCAGTTGGCTCCATGGCCGAGCGGGGACTAGAACCCAGATCGTCTGAGTCCCAGTCCCATGCTCTTAACCACTACACCACACTGGCTCTCACTGGGAGTAAAAGCAAGTTTCAGCCTGACCTCCAAGGGATGAGCAATGGGCTATGCGGAACTGACTCTGGAGAATCTGACAGAAACAGCGTAGAGAGCCGCTGCTGCAGGGGGACGCTTTGGACACTTGGAAGAAGGCTTCTGATTTGATCAGGATGTGTGAGAAGGCAGATACTGAGACAGTATTAAGCCAAACTGTCTTGTGCCGTTTCCAGTTCGAGCCTTGCATTTTGGTAAACTGGAAAGTTACCCCCACAACACAGTAAAGGTCAGACTGGTCATTCACAACGGCATCCCAGGTCCTGTTGGGGACCATCGTTTTTCTGTACATGCTCTTTCTTCCGCGACCGTCCCTGCTGCCCAACCTGCTGGCTGTTTCTTCTGGTTCTCTAGATGGATCTCACAGGTACGTAGTGGAGTCTTTTTCAACCTGGTATGTTCCACATATGCTTGGCTTCCATTGCCATAATCTCTGACCACTGGTTAATGTTATTCAAAAATCTCTGGTCTTCCAGATGAGGGGGTGCAGTTCCCATCACCCTTTGACCATTGGCCATGCTGCCAGGGAGTGATGGGATAGGAAGTCCAAGTATACCTGGCGGACCATAGGTTCTCAACTTCTGTTTCTCACTCAGAATACAGAACCAGGGCCATCCATTGACATTCAACACAGTAGAGGATGCAGGTCAAAGAGATGACGTCTCCCTTAAACTCTTGTGGGTGACCAGCTGCTGAGCTCCTTTTGGATTCCCGGATCACCTGCTGTAGGTGAGCAGAGGAGATATAATAGATTTCCAAGGTATTATAAAGGATTGTATTGCTTCTTGCGCCCATGGACTGTCTCTAGGTTCCCTGGGTCTGTTCAATCTTATGGGAAGATCTGCTGCTCAAGCCGCCAGGTGTGGGATTTGTAAGGGGTATGTTGTTGCCCAGTCTTTCTTCTCCTGCATCCCGGAGAACTCCGCATCAGGATGCCAAACATTGTCCTTCCAACTCATTTCTGTGTTGACATGAGAGAGAGAGAGAGGGAGGGAGGGATAGAGGGAGAGAGAAGAGAGTGCCTTTTTGAGGAAGGCATCCAATTTTTATGAGGCTGTGCTTTGAGAATGTGCACTTTGGATCTGAGTTTATTGGTCTAGTTAACAGCTCTGATAATTTGAATGAGTCCACAATAACCATCAATCTCACCTTTTTATGGTTCCTGGCTAAAATAAGCAAATGGTGAGGAATGCTCATTTCCTTGTATTTCTAACCATATTTTATTGTTAGCTATGGCAGATTCCTGGTTCTAGTACTGCAAACAGAAGAGCCTTCTTTCTCTGCCCACTGTAAGTAGTGGAAACTTGGAGAGGTACCATTTCGGGGACTTTCATACCAAGCTTGAGCATAAATAATGCACATTATGGTCAATCTCCAATGGACAGTGAGACCAGCTCACAGTTTTGCAGTGTGGAGTGATCTTTTTTAGGATTCTAGCCAGCCAAACTGTCTTTCAAGACACGTCCTTCTGTCTTCTGCTTCGCTGGTTTTTGTTCTTCAAGAGTTAGCCTTTCTTGTCCACTGAGCATGCTCAGACCTCATAAAGTTATTGTGTGACCCCCCCTCGCTCCCCATGTATTCTTTTAACCCTTTAGCCTCTGCAAGACATTGGGACCCCCACCCCAAGGCTCACCAATACCTTTAGTTAGTGTGTATGTGTCTTGCCTCTGTGGCTAGGTAAGATTGCATGCTCAGGCCATGAGTTGGTTTCTAATATACACAAGGGGAAGTGCCACCTCGTGGCAGGCATTCCCTGCCATTATTAGTTTGCTGTACACAGGAAGATGCAGTTTCTTCCAGGTACCTCATTTGCTATGGACATCTTGACTCCTGGTCATTTTGAATGTGAGTGTGTGAGAGAGACAGAAGTGAGGAAACAGGCGCAGAAGCTTTCAGGGACATTTGCTTTTAAAAACCAGTTGTATGGCAGGCACCCTTACTTGCAGTCCCCGCAGAGTGCTGGTACAGCCCTTGCAGATGCAACCACTGGTAACTTTCCGCTAGAGGAAGCAGATCAGGGTAACTTGATTTTTACTGATCTTTCCAGTCTGTTGATTCTCCCCTGCTGCTCTAATGCTTGGGAGACTCTCTTGGACAGTAAGGAATATTGAATGTAGAGATATGTGAGGAATCTGATGGGGGCAGGTGATTGTCCAGTGGATTTCTATAATTTTGTCTGCCAGACTTGTTTAAAAAAGTGAAGGCGATTTGTGTAAAATCAGCCAGTATTGTATAATTTGCACAAATGGCAAGATGACCACCTGCTTTTCAGGTGTCCATTTGCCCAGAGCAGCTGATTTTGTGCGATTCAATCCTTATGCTTTTCAGGTATTAGTGTGTGTACAGTGTGCAAACTGTTGTGATCTGCACGAATGGCAAAACTTTCTGCAAATTGCACACATTTCTGCAAGTGTTCTTAGCATTTTAAAACACATGCAGACTGCATCCTGTCTCTGTGATGGAAGTCTGTGGAAACCTTTCCCCCACTTGGTCTGCTTCCAGTCACTGGGTTGGAAGTGGGTGGGAATTCTTTTGGGTTCAAATGGGCTGGCTTTCCCAGGGTTAGCACACCCCTATTGCGTGCAAGGTATGAAAGATCTTCAGAAACCAGGTGCCATGACTTAGAAGCAAGTGTTGGAAGGGACCCTCAAGATGATCTAGTCTGGGGTGGGTCAGATGGGCCCTTCAAGCTTCATGCAGCTTCCTCCGGTGCTCCTGAAATTGGAAATTAATTTGTTTTTGGCAGGAACGGTGTCTCCAGCAGCTGCGAAGCACCCACAGGGTCAACATGAACCCATTTCCATGATAAATTTGACCCTCTTGATGTGCTGTAGCTTCTACAGGTGCCATTATTAATGATCTCTCGCTCCACCTTTTCCCCCTACAGTGCAGGATGCAGCTGCGGCATCCCTGGTAGATGGCCATCGAGGCTCTGCCAAAACGCCTCTAGTGAAGGGGAACCTTCCACCTCCCAAAGCACTCTTTTCCTCTGATGAAGCACACTCATTGTTAGGAGGTTTTTTCTAATTTAAGCCCAAATCGGCTTCCTTGAAACTCGCCCACCCTTTGATTTGCTCCTATCCTTAGCAGCAACAGTGAACAAGTTTCTTCATCTTCCCCCCGACAGCATATTTTGATATTTGGCATCACTATGATGATGCCCCTTAATCTTTTCTTCTCAGGCTAACCATGCTAACACTTTTTCTTTGTGCAAAGCTATACTTGGATTAGATCATGGCATCCGGTCCTATCACTTCCTGGCAAATAGATGGGGAAGAAATGGAGGTAGTGACAGATTTTATTTTCCTGGGCTCCAAGATCACCTCAGATGGGGACTGCAGCCAAGAAATTAAAAGATGCTTGCTCCTGGGGAGGAAAGCTATGGCAAATCTAGACAGCATACTAAAAAGCAGAGACATCACCCTGCCAACAAAAGTGTGTATAGTCAAGGCTGTGGTTTTCCCAGTTGCAATGTATGGCTGTGAAAGCTGGACCATAAGGAAGGCTGAGCGCAAAAGGATTGAGGCCTTTGAATTGTGGTGCTGGAGGAGACTCCTGCGAGTCCCTTTGACTGCAAGGAGATCAAACTGGTCAGTCCTAGAGGAGATCAATCCTGACTGCTCTTTAGAAGGCCAGGCACTGAAGATGAAACTCAAACTTTGGCCACCTAATGAGAAGGAAGGACTCCCTGGAGAAGAGCCTGATACTGGGAACGATTGCCAGCAAAGGGAGAGGGGATGGTAGAGGATGAGGTGGCTGGATGGAGTCATTGAAGCAGTCGGTGTGAGCTTAGGTGGACTCCGGGAGATGGTGGAGGACAGGAAGGCCTGGAGGAATTTTGTCCATGGGGTCGCAATGGGTCAGACAGGACTTCGTGACTAACAACAACAACAACATTCTTGGATATGCCCTTTTGCTATTCCAAAGCAGCAATGGATCGTTTCACCACTGTTCCAGAATATTAGTGCTATTAGCATTATTATTACATTACCTTATTAGACTTGTATGCTGCCTTTTTTCTTCTTGAGCGAATCCCAAGGATGTCGACCGCTCTGTTTCATCCTCACAACAAGCTTGTGAGCTCGGTTGGCCTGAGTAGGAGCAGTGGCCCTAAGTCACCCTGTGGGTTCCATGGTTAAGTGGGGTCTGGAGCCCAGATCTTCCAGGTGATCCGTCCCAATGCGTGACCAACACTGTATCCATGGGGCACTGGGTCTTTGTGGCATCATAATCTTGCAAATTTGTGTCCTTGCTTTGTGCTTGGACCGGTATGTTCTATGCCGCAGGAAAAGACAATTCAATAGCTCCGTAAATTTCTAAATAACAGTCACGAGTTGTTTATATCAATTGCGATCTTCCCTCTGTGTCCCATCCCTAAAAAACTGCATGTTAGAATAATGATAGTAGAATCTTATTTGAAAAAAAAAAAGATTTCTTTGGGCTGCTTGCTGTCCAGAAAATTTCTCTGAATTGCACTCAGGGAGGCAGCTTGGAATGGAGTGCAAGTCTTTTCTTTCTGCTGGGTGTAACTGCCTGTGAAGTTAATTGGGTGTTAAAGGCTTTCCATGCAGCCTGATGCTTCCTTTTCTCCTTAATACTACTTCCTGTTGCTAATCTTTCTTTGGAAGGAGACTCCTAGCTACAGAGAATACACAGTTATTTAATACCGAAAGAACTTTTTTCTGTTTGTAGAAATGTCAAAGGATTAATATTGTTCAGTTGAAGTGGAGGCCTCCCCCCTTTCCTTTCCTTTCCTTTCCTTTCCTTTCCTTTCCTTTCCTTTCCTTTCCTTTCTCTATTTGTGAAGTTAGAGATTATTGTATCCAAACCCCATTGTTTTGCCATCACGCCATGCCAAGTGCATGCCTTTCACAGCTGCCATTAAAGCTGTGAACGCATTCTGTTATGTTTCATTCCTGAGGTTTTATTTATTTTTGAAGACATGAATCTTACTACTGTAGACAGGAAGGATTAAAACCCAGAAGCCCAGCTCTGCGCTGCTTGGGGAAGTTTCAAATACATGAAGCTTTCCTATATGGCAGCCTTCCCCAACCTTGTGCCTTCCAGACACATTCGGCCTGCAACACCCAGAATTCTCAGTCAGTGGCCCTGCTGGATGGGAATGCTGGGGGTTGTAGTGCAAATGCCTCTGAAGGGGAATGCTGCTATATGGGGCCAGAACATTGGGCCATTTAGTCTTGTGTGATCCATTCCGACTGGCAATGGCTTTCTGCGGCCTCAAACAGAGCTTTTCCCCAGATGTGCCACCTGGAGAAGCCAGAGCACAAACTCTGCCTGTGATACTGAGATTTTGGTGTGCACCATGGTGTGTGAGAAAGCTACGCCCCTGCAGGTGTTTGATAGAACACATACCTTGCACAAATAAGCAGGGACATTTGCAAAGTCCATCTGAAGTGCTGCAGGGTTGTGCAAAGCCAGTCAGCAAAGACAGTCCTGAATGAACCCTGCAGCACCCTGCTCCAAAGGGAAAGGGGACAGAATAATCCGCAGCTTGCCTGTTTGGTCTTCTGCAGCTTTTATGGTCCCACCAAGTGAAACATTCTCCCCCGACTCCCTGTGGTTGCCTCCACCAAGCCAACAGCCCCTGGGTCTGTGGTATTTATTTAGGTAGTGTGTGAGGTTGGGTGTAAAGTATGAGCAGAGTATTTCAGAAAGGAAAGAAAAAGGACAAGTTTCAGTTCTTAAAATGAGTTTTAAAAAGCAACAACGGAATGGCTATGCGTGCATGTGTGATGCACACAGTGAGCAATGAGCTAATAAACAACCTCAGAAAAACATAAGTGGTGTATGCTAGTTCTGTCTCCCAGCAGTATCTGTTACTGATCTGACTCTCAACCAGTTCTTCAGTTCCAGCAGCTTTGCCTAGGCAGCGGTGGCGAACCTCTGGCACGCATGCCTCAGCGGGCACACAGCGCCTCTCTATCGGCACGCGAGCCAAGTTGCCCCAGCATCGCCCCAGCAGCCGAGCATCGGATAACAGCGCACACAGGGGCCATGCGCTTGCTCAGAAAGGAGGAGCAGCGCCAGGCGATGATGTCACAAGCCGCGACTCATTAGCCACGACTTGTCTGAGCTTTCACATGACTGGTCTGTGCGCTGCCGACTGGATGTGAGTTGTTTTTTCTAAACTAAAACCTCAGTATTCAGGTTTTATTGCAGTGTTGGCACTTTGCAATAAATAAGTGGGTTTTGGGTTGCAGTTTGAGCACTCGGTCTCTAAAAGGTTTGCCATCACTGATCTAGGGCTTTAGGCTTCCTCCCTTCTCTTTCTCTACACTTCTTTCCGTTTTTCTACCCTTCTGCCTTAGACTTTTATCAATTAAAACTAGTTTATTTCTTTCTTCCAGGAAGATATTTCCATGTTTCTGAAAACCAAGTTCCTGTTTCCTGAGCTGAAACTTGTTTCACTTTCAGTTTCTGTTGAATTTTATACTCTCCTGGCTCTTTTGAGCACCATTTCTTGATCTGGGCCATCTAACAACACTTTTGAACTGTAAACAATTAATCTTTTAACTGAAACAGACTAGCATGCACACACGAGTACATGCACAAGATATAATCCCATAGTTCCTTAATCTCAAATTGAATATAAAATTAAATACAGTGTAATCCCAGATTAAATGCTAGAATGGAGGACAGTCCTGCTCCTTTATGCTTAATATAAGGCCTATTCTTACACTTGATCATACACAATCTCCTCCTTGTGATCCGGTTGGGAAACAGTGTGTGTGAGCTAATGTTTGTGACATTTTTAGGTTCTTTTTAAATGTGATTTGCTCCAAAACAAAACCACATAAAAGAAAAAGACTGCAGTTTTCTTACAGCAACAGACATGAATCATCTATGATAGTTCTATATGAAATGTGCATCCCTCGGTATATGTGAGTGAGTTACAGGTATTACAGAAATATTCCAGAAAAGGAGGACCAAATATCCCAAATATCCGCAGGTGGTGTCCATTCAAAAGCTGAAAGCATTGTTGGGCCGTATAGGTAGACATTTCTCTTTCCAGTGTTTTTAATAGCTTTTAATAGTGAATCTATTTTCCAAGGCTTCAGCCAAACCTCTTGATTGCTGATCAAGGTATAGCTGGTGTGAAATAATTAAAACTTGCTGGAGTATAGCTTTTGAACTTTGTATTGGAGATACATAGAGACAAATTTGTTGATTTCTGGTTTTGGTCAAGACAGTTTGCCAACATAGCAAGCTTCTGTCACTGCTCGGGCATGTGCAACAGCCCCAAATTCTGTCCACTGTGCCACGGATGTTGGAGATGGAACATGCGCTTTGGAGCTGTGGGAATATCCTTTCGTTTCCTGCCTGTTCACGACTCTTCTCTCAGTGTGAATGATCCTGTGCGTTGCATAACGCATCTGGCATACAGCACGTAATTATCATAGAGTAGCCTAGTCATTTGAGACTCATATCACATTTTCTGTTTGGGTGGAGTTGGACAAGCATGTTGATCCAACGCTGGCCATGTTTCCATGTCAATTAGCTGATCGTTGGGATCTTCATCGGATGATGACTCACCACACTGACAGGGTGAGTCTTTTAATCGCTTGTTGCCGAAGCCAAGAAAAGTCCTTGCTGACCTATGGATTGGCTATTTAACTGAACATCTGAATCCACCTTTTCTCTCTGCTTGGCAAGAGCTGTTTCAACATATGAATGCAATGACTACCAATAAGCTAATACTGGATGGGAATTAAACATTTTTCAGATAGAGAATCTAGATCCACATTGAGATACTTCTTGTGTAACAGACCTTAGAACAGGAATGTGTAACTGTTGAAAGGAAAGCTCAAGAATGCTAAAATAGTCTATTTTCAAAATGCATTGTATGCATATTCAAATAGCTTCATGAATTTTTCTGATTTGATGTGAACAGCCATTAAAACTTTTTTCCCTCCGTTACTTGGTATTGTATGGTATTTAAACATTTGCTGCTCTCAGTTCCCTGAAAGGACTCAGAAGCAACTGATTATGGACCGTATGAAATCTGTCGATTTGTGCCTCTTTCCCTCCCCTGGAGTTTTAGAGAGCAGGACTCCAGGTGTACCACATGCAAAAATTGCAAGGGTGACAGGTGTGAAGGGATGAGGGGGGCGAAGGACCCATCAGATCGAGTGTGCATCCTCACTGTGTACACACACAGCCTTACTGAGTGGGACCAGGGGACCAACTGGGATGTGAGGTGTCACACACGTTGTTCCTTATTTTTCCTGCATGATCCAGTTTCTATTTCCTGTGGACCAAATGAGCCCTGAATGCAAAAGCTGGCTGCGTGTTAAGTCTCATAGCAGCAGTGTTGTTTGTTATTTTGCACGGGTGTTGAACATTCAGAGTGCTTTGCTGTTCTTATCTTGTTTACTCGTTTAAGTGGGTTGTGATAGAAGTGGAGGTTTCCCCTCCCATTTTTAAAGAAACAAAACCATAGCACTTTCTGTATTTACTTATTTTCAGAATTACTTGCATGTCTCCGGGGAAGCACAGTGTGCTTCCTGGGAAAATTTAAATTCCAACATTAACCCCCCCCCCCCCCCCGGAATGTGTATAGATAGAACCCAGGGTTGCATTCCTGATGTTTACTGTCAGTGTGAACAGACAAACTTCGTATTGTTTTGTTTCTCCTTGTAGTTCTGTTGTTTTTTTACATAGGATAGCACTGGAAATTTCCTAAATTCTCAGCCCTCAATATGGCAACTCAGAACCAGGCTGAAATGGAATGAACACCCCTCCCCTATAGAAAAAATCTCCGTTATCTCTCTTCTTGCCACTGTGGTAGGAAGTGTTCATTTGAAATCATCCATAAAGTAGAACTTACTTTAGTCACTCTTCTTTGCAATTGCGTCAAACGATTCCAGTGTGTGGAGAGTCAAATTGCAGGGAATCCATTATTCAGTTTCTTGCTGCTAATGCACGCACTTGCTCCTAGTAGGCGGTTGCTCTGAAAAGTTATTTTGCTCTCCCACATGAAAATAAGAACTTAATCTGAATGATCACAAGAAATATTTGTCTAAGCCAGGCGTTGGGTTCCAGTAATGGCCAGACTGACTTCTCATAAATCCATTGGTGATACTCCTCTCCTGTTGCTCTTCTCTGGCTTTGCATAAACAAAGGTACACTACCTTTGAACATGGAGGTTTGATTTACCAGTTCTTGGCTAATAGCTATTGATAGACCTACCCTCAGCATTTTTGCCCTGCTCATTTTACATTACTGGTGACTACTGCATTTTCTGATCATTAATTCAATAAGTTAATTGTGTACTATGTCAGAAATGCAGACTGTGTGATTCCCTAGATCAGGGGTCTCAAACTTGCGGCCCACGGGCCAATTGCCGGGCCGGGTGGGGCATGGGATAGGGGCCCTGCGGCCTTCAAAGCGCCAGCGGTGCCTGGGCCGGCGGCGGGATGAGTGGCCCCCCACCACCACGGTGGTGGAATACTTGATGCGGCCCAGCCTCACCCAGACTCTACTTCCAGCAGCCCCCAGGTCAGTTGAGTTTGAGACCCCTGCCCTAGATGCTGTTGTAGTGTATTTGCCTGAGCCAGCATACACAAGGGTAAGGGATGATGGGATCTGCAATCTGGCAACCTCTGGAGGGCCGCCAGTTCTTCTTCCCTGTATTGGGTAAGAAGGTATTTCCTTGTGTCATTCCCAGAACTCATGCTGATGGGCTGCACCAGATGACACCAAATTCTTACCCATATATAAGGGAAACTCCCAACATTCTTGCAATGCGCTTCCTCTGTTCTTTCCTTATTGTTACAATCCATTGGCAAGTCCTTCAAGATCGACACAACCATATCTTGATAGTTGTGTGATCAGAGCAGGTCTTTCCTGCGTTTGTTGACTTACAAAGACTCTACTGAAAACAATTTGTCAGGAATCAGAATATTTCCAGGGAATAAATGGAAAGGGGAGAAAGGAAGGGATTACAGTGACGGTGGAGGGCTTATTAGAGAGGGCCCTGGTGGGAAATGCAATAGGCATTTATCCTTATCAGCACTGCGAACTAGAAAGGGAACGGTCAGGCATTTAGTCCGTGGAAAGTGGGAGATGCCACGCTGTTGTTGGCCATGCTGGCGCTTTCTGTTTTGCTTCTAAATAAACCTAATTGCAGATTTCCATGATGGAGCTTATGTGGCGAGGGAGGATGGGGCCTTCAAAGGCTTTTAAAATGACCGTAATAAAAAGCTCCGAAAATTGTGTGTCATCTCAAGAAGGGGCTGTGCCATTCTTCGCTAGTGGTAATCATGGTCAACGGCAAATGTGCTTAAGATTAAACTAATTAACCTCCCTCATTCTTTTGCTTTGTTACTCTTTAAAACACCCCTTCTCCCTCTCTCTTTCTGCTGTGTCTGCATTTCACCCCTCCCAAATTTTAGTTCAGATAATTCTGGAACTGGAAAAGACGCTGCCAGTCTCAGCTTTCAGGTTCCTGTTTCATGTTCATGTTTTGCCCGTGTCACCATAACAGTGCCCCTGTGTGCATTGACAAAACGCCGAACGCTTGATGGAGTCTTTCTGATGAAATGCAGCGATGTCCTTATGTGCACATGCGCTCTTGCACACTGGCAAGAGCTAAATCCCGTTGCAGGTGCAGAAAAGGGGTGGGTCAAGTGTACATGTGCGCACACATGTGTCTGTGTGTTCTGCCAAGGCACCCGTACTCCTTCCTAATGCAGAGGAGAGAAGGACTTAAAGGGACTGAAGGAACTGGAAGCCACAACAAGTCAGATGGACACCTTGTTCTGCTCATAATCTGGAACACGAAAGAGTCAGTTATGAAGCAGTGAGGAGTTTGAGAGATGCAGCACTGGATCTGGTCTCCTTTGGAATGCAGCACTGAAGGTATTGGCGTGGCAATGTGTGTGATCGCTGGCACATGTACAGGCTGGGCTGAGCACGTCATACTCCCGTAGCCCTGCCAAAATCTGCAGCATTCATAGAACTTCTTCTGGGATGGGATGTTGAACCAGAGGGCCGAATTCCATTCCAGAGACTCTCTCTGGGGCTGCATTTTGGTGTGGGAGAGGCTGGAGGCAAAACGGTTCCGGCAAAATGCCGGCAAAGTTTAGCTCAAAGCTCTTAGTAGTAGTGAGTGGCATTTCAGGCTTTTGCAACGGAGAAAAACACTGAACAAAAGCTAGGAAAACACCAGAGGATCGGTGCCCTTTGGTTTTCTTCTGCACCGTGGCTGCGGACTTTGGCCCGATTTCAGAAGGCCTATGTGAGCAGACCCTTCAGACCGCTGGTAAGAGCGATCTGTCCATTTCTTGGGAACCCAGCGTGCAAGGAGGAAGTAGAGGAAATGGGGAGAAGTGGTGGTGAGAAGAGAGAGAGGAAGAAAAAACAGGGGTGGTTATGGGTGTTTTGACCAGAGTCCTGTGCAGCATTGCCTTTGGACCTGCTAAGATCCTCTCCGGCTGGTCGCCTCCAGCACACACAGTCAAGCACATGTTCTTCAGGGAAATGTGGCCATCTAACCATCCATCCATTTATTTATATCCCTCCTCTTTTTCCTTTCAAGGAACTCAGAACAGCTTACATAAATCTCTTCCTCTCAGTCTTATTTCCACAACAACAACCCTGTGAGGTAGGCCGGGCTGAGAGTCTGGGACTGGCCCCAGGTCACCTTGTGAGTTCCATGGAGTGGGGACTCGAACCCAGACCTCTGAGTCTCAGTCCTGCCACTTTCCCCCTTATTTTTCTGTTCTGGAGAAAATGGAAAAAATGGTGGAAGATAGAAAAATATGCAATACTTTTTTAAACTGGAGTTTGGTTCCTACAACACCATCACTGAGCCAGACTATCTGATGTGGCCAAGCAAAGCCCTGCTGAGGAATGTGTAGAGTGGCTGCCTCTTAAATCAAACCACTTTGTCTTTGCAAATTGAGTTCATTTTATTTCTTCCTGTTTATCTGGAAGGGGGGATTAGGGAAGGATAACCTCCAGGTTGCCCCTTGATAGCGTCCCTGAATTGCCCCGTGACTATTTCTTTTCCCTCTGGAGGGTTGGGCTGATGTGACATTTACTGCTTATTTCTCCTCATTTTTCCCTTTGGCACACTATTTTTAAACAATAGTACACTTTGTAAAGGAGGATGAAAAGTGCACGAGAGGAAACCTTTAATTAAAACCTCTCTCCTGCAGGGAGAAAGAGTGGCACTGGGCAATTCGGGGAACTTACTCATCTCTGGGTGAACAGGAAGCAATAAAATTAGCAATCAGCTTTCTTCACTGCATGGAACTTACTTGTGAGTGGATACTATAAAAGGATCTTGGCCATGAGAAAGGCATTGCTGGCTAATGAGGTTTGTGGGACCCCTGCTAGAACATTCAAGTCGCATGATTCCAAAATCTGAGGTGGCCATTTGGGCAAGAAACAATTCTGCAAAAGATCCCTTGCCCCAAGCGATTCTGCGACAGGATCTATGTGGGATTTCATGTACTGCAGTTAAAACCAGCATGGCAGAGTGAACTGGGACTCGGGAGATCTGGGCTCGAGTGCCACTTGGCCACGAAGCTCATTGGGTG